GACTCCCACCTTTTCTCCCCCTTTGAGGCAAACATTGATATCTTTGAGCACTTTATGCGGCGATTCGTTGTATTGAAGACTCATATCTTTGAACACTATTTCACCAGTTTTTGGCCAATCATCTGATGGTTTCCGATCGGGAGTGGAGTCCAGATCTGCCTCGGGTTTAATGGCTGTGTATTCTAAGACTCGCTCGACAGCAGTCATGTAGGACTCGGTATCGGCCGATAATTTAATAGCGTATTGAATTAAACCCGTCATTGATATAGCTTTTTACAACATTTTCAAATTACATTGTATTATTAATATTACGATTAAATGGATAGAAAACAAACAAAAGTTAGCTATTTATTGCAATTAATTGTCATATTTTTATTCTATTCTAAATTCACTGTTTATTATAAGAGTACTCATTGATGTCAATATTAAAATTGCAATAATCACTGAATGCAATGAATAATTAAATTCATAGCTAACTTCTGTCTGTTTTATATTAATTCAATTAAGATCACGTTAGCCATGGAATTAACATAACCGCTAAAAACGCTGCATTCTATGAGAACGTAGGAACAAAGATATATAACATTTAGGCTTAAGTTAATGCGGTGGCTGCGTGATATTAATGCTGTATATTAGTTATGATAATTATACCCGAAGTTAATAAAAGTCCAGCATTTCCTCCGGGAACACCTTTCAAGAAGAAATGCAATCAAATGGTGTAATTAAACTAAATATTTAATAATTGTAGACATACTGTCACTATTGGCCATAATATAAGCGGTAACAGCACTCAGATATACGATACAAATGGTGTCCATTAGGACCCCGAGTGCTCGTGAAGTGCAGATGAATAGGAAAAAAGTAGAGGTGTTGTCGTTTTGGTGGACTTCAAGACTATAGGTTTACATGACTTGAGAAGTCGTATATCAATTATACCTCATCATGTCATATCAGAAACAAACCGATGGACCAAATGCTAAGAGAGCTATGAAGAGAAGCACTTCATTCACACCATCGATGTCAGCCCACACAGCGTTGTGTTCACGTGAGAGTACACCGGACTCCGGGCTATCGGAAAGTAAGAGTTAAATTTTTTAAAATAATTATTAAAATTAATTAATGTTAAACACATACACAACCCTTCCATACGCTTTATATCTCTCGCGGCTTTGATATAGAAATAACGGCACATAAACACTAATAGCAACAAAAGTATTGCCGGAAATATCAGAAACCAACTGACGATTGCATTCAGTATTAGACTTCCGATAATAAAACATGTATTCTATAAATATTTATCAAATCATTATTAATTAAAAAAATTAGTTTCAATTATAATTACAATTATGAAATCAAATGCAACGGATGGCAGTAATTCATCAACAATTCCCGTATCTTTTGAAAATCTGTTTAGAATTCGCCCTAAATTTAGACATTAAATTAATCAACAATGTATAATTACGTGCTATTAATATTAATTATTATTAATTATAAGCATTTATATGTTATTATTAATTACTATATCAATTAATATTATTTAATGTAGTTTATGTCAAATAATGTTACCGATGGGCGAACTCTCGAACAGATGTATCGGTGATCGCAATAATGCATAGAATATACGGTTATAGAGATTAACCGAAGATCTCATACACATTATGTAGAAACAAATGGTGGACAACAGGGCCGACACAAACAGACCAATGATTAGACTCGTGTAGATTATTATGTTAAATGTCTGATCCACGTTATCCGGGTCTTTGCTCATTTGATTAGTCCTAACATAATTGCATTTTAATGAAATTACAACTATTCTTAAATAATAATAAACACTGACCATAAACTCAACCAATAATCGCTTCCTTGGGTCAGAATTTGTGAAGAGATTGTAAACAAAATGGTAAGTGTTATGAGCAGAGGTCCGGCGCCGGCCTTAATGTAATCCTTATAAACAGTGGACTCAACGGATCCAATCATTTTGAGTTCGGCCTTCACTTCCTGTTCGTCCACTTCTATCGGTTCCCTAACGTCCGTCACTTCCGATCCCTCACTAAGGGATGAGACCATCGATGGTGTGAATGAAGTGCTTCTCTTCATAGCTCTCTTAGCATTTGGTCCATCGGTTTGTTTCTGATATGACATGAGATCAATGCCGCGCTCTTTGAGCTGAGTGTAGGACCCAATGGCCACACACTTGCCGTCGTTGAGTACAAGTATTTGATGCGCATCTTTGAGAAACTGGATTTGATGGGTCACTAAAACCCTAGTCTTGTCTTTTAGGTATTCAACACAACATCTAATTAATAGGAAATACATTAAGTAATTATTATTTTTAATTTACTACTTATACTTCTGGAAGAGATGTTTGGCCACATGTGTGTCGACAGCACTCAAGGGGTCGTCCAAGAGGTAGATGTCTGCCGAGTGGTACAGAGCCCGGGCCAGACTTATGCGGGCCTTCTGTCCGCCGCTCAACGACACCCCCTTTTCGCCGACAAGTGTTTTGTCGCCAAACGGCATGAGTTTAAAATCCCGGTCCAAAGCGCACGCCTTCACCACTCGATTGTATTTCTCTTCATTATATTGAGAGCCAAACAGAATATTCTGTCGAACACTCGCTATGAAAGCCNATTGAGAGCCAAACAGAATATTCTGTCGAACACTCGCTATGAAAGCCCACGACTCCTGCGGCGCGTACGACACCCGACCCCTCACTACCACTCGACCCGACACTACAGATATTTCATTCAGTATTGCCATCAATAATGAGCTCTATTTTCGGATTATAATAATAATGTAATATTGAGTATAATATAAATAAAATATTAAAATATAATAAATTAGTATTAATATTTAATTATACCTAAAGTTTACATAACGTTTTTAATCAGTTAATCAAATCATGGGATTTATTCATTTTTAGAAATTTTTATCAAAAGTAATTAATTGATTTAATAAAAATTATGTAAGATTCATGAGTATTGATTCTAGTTTAATTTTATACAAAGATATAATGCAGGAATGTCAAAAGACATTATTTAATTAGACGTAGGTTTTGTGCAATCATTGAGTTTGATATCTGTATTACTGACCATAATATTGTACATAAATGCTAACATAATTTTGGCACTTTTTTGGCACTTTCTGCATTACTGATATAATGTTTATATTCATTGGTTAAAAATGATTATCTTTTTAAGTTAATAATAAATAAATCAAGGTTGGCACATTATTTTACAAGTATAATAATTAAAAGTGTTAATTTAGATTTTAAAAATTAAAATCTATATTAATTATAAATATTAGGATATGATTATCAATTGATTTTGTGATGAATTTCTATTTATAAAATCATTTACTTCATACCTTTCCACTGCCAACGGATCCGACGACAGCCAACAGTTGTCCGGGTTTTACACTCAGACTAATGTCCCGAAGCGTGGGTTCAGTCGTCTCCTAATGTATTCATAAAACTCTAAACACGTGTTAAAAGACATCAAAGAATTCATACATTATTCCAACGAACGCTCATTTTTTCGATGAAAACGCCTTTTTCTTCATTACTGAAAGTATTGTCCATTTTTATCACATTCTTATCAGAAATGCACGTCTCGTCCAAAACATCTATCTCTTCAAGTAATAGGAAATCCTATTAAATTAAAAAATCTATTTTGTTAAAAATTAAATTAAATATTATAGTAATTACCTGTATGCGTTGAATTACACTAATTAATTCACTGAGTGCAGCAATAGCCAGGGGTGTATTCTTACCCATTGCCCAACGCATCGCATTAAAGTAAGCCATTGTGGCAAAGGCTGTCTCCGCCGACAACATCCCACCCATCAGTATATATGTTAGAAAACAGGCGTATATTATAACCCGTATTATCACAAAATAAATCGAAAGGTTAACCCCTTTCAAAAAATTCGACGATCGGATTTGTTTCACTTCGTACCTAATATAAAGTTTACAATATATTAATTTTACAATTTTTACTATTATTTATTTATTAAATTAAATAATTATATTATTTGTGTGATTACTTGCGAGCGGTTGCGACCAACTGTGCGAAGGGCTGTTCCCAGGCGTACATCTTTATGACACGCATTCCGGCGATAATCTCTTGCATTAAACGGATTCGACTGTCAATGAGTAATTACTGTTAATAATTACTAATTATATGTCAATTAAACGGATTCGACTGTCAGTTAATTTAGCCGTCTTTTGACGTATACTCCGAAACATACGACCCATTAGTACTTGAAATGGTATAAACAGCACAAGTATTCCCATTCCCGTCAAACACGCCACACCAAGGGATGGCCACAACAAGTATAACACAATCGCCGCCTGCAGTGGCGCTACAAATAGTGACCGCGAAAAAAATGCAAACTATGGCAAAATAAACAAACTATTATTGCAAAAATACTTTGTAAATTTAACAATTTAATTTAATTCTATTATCTATTTATTTCAAATAAAATACCTCGTCAAATCTGTTGACATCGTTGGACATAATGTTCAATATCTGGCCAACAGTTGTCTGTCCGAGTGATGAATGATTTAAACGCATTGACTTTATATATAAAAATAGTAATTACATAAAAATTGTTAATTAAAAGTTTATAAATAATTTTGACAGACCTTGCGGTAGATTAGGGCACAACAGGCGGCACGGATTCTGACCCCAACTTTACCGTTATAAGTACTATTCAAATGTGTGATAAACATGTTTGCAATGGCGGCCAACACAATACCCACGGCCGCCCACGTGGCCCACCACTGGCTAGTGTTGGGGTCATCGTTGAAATATCTGACCAAATATGCGATACAATACGGCTGAAACAAATTCAGTCCCAATTCCTGTTTGATTACAAAATACAATTTAAATAAAATTAAAATAATCACAATGTTAATTATTATAAGTAGTAATAATTTATCATTATTGTCTTATTATTATTTATTTAAATATTACCCTGATTGCATCGGGGATATAGAGGACAATAAGTTCGGGTCCGTACGATGTGAATAGTGCCCATAATAATGATGGCTTTCCTTTACTTTTCAATTGTTTATCCCATTTGCTATACAAATACATACAAACATTACATTTTTACTCTAATAATTAATAAAAAATTTATATTTTATATTACATTTCCAATTTCTGTCGGACCCGATGTGTCTCATCTGATTTTGGGCAGCGGTAGAGATCACTGAACTCGAGGTCCTTTTTGTGCGCCCGAATGAATAGACTCCACACCCAACTAATTAAAAAATTGTAATTTATTGTATTATTCCTCTTTTTACTCCATAGGGTGTTGTGTCAGTTTCTTAGAGGGCGTGGGGTAATACCTAATATTAGGTAATACTATGGACATCAACCTATGGAGTATTTTGAAGTTTACTGGAGTTAAGGACCCCTTCCATAACACCCAATGGTATATAAAGAGGACAAATACGATAATATAATCTGTAAATACCTGAATGTAATTTTTGAAAGTATGTTAATGCGATCCCATGGACTCGGAATGGTTACTAATCCATCAGTTACTTCCATATTATTATATTTTAACAATATTTTATATAAAAACTAACATTATAAAGTATTTTTATTTTACAAACATTTAATATGTATTTATAGTTTAAATTTGAATTTTTATACACATGATTTCTTTATTGCTAACCAGATAATAGATTTCTAATTTGTGAAACAATAGGACCTTGGTGTTTTATTATCAATGTATGAACCAAATGCAGTACATCAGTAATTTTATTATTAATTATGCCGTCATATAATAAGCGTATGACAATTGAATCTTAACAGGGTGATAAAAATATTTTGTGAATTTTATCTCATAAGTGTTACATGTGTTATAAAATTTGTTTTATTATACATATTATATTAGAGTAAAAATGTTTTGTAAGACATTGTAATTTATTATAAATATATTTTACAATAATTAATTTTAAAAAATAAAATTCACTATTTATATTTAAATCTCATGTTAATTAAATGTAATAGATAGAATAATTAATTGATTTTATTAACAAAAATTGTTTTCAAAACGAGAACAAAACTAAAACTCAAAATTATAATTTTTCAATCATTATTCTGTTGTAAAACAATAGTAATTATTGTAAATACGGTTGCTTTATAAATACCATTTGTTGCATCGAGATTGAAGGCTGTATTTACTATAATCGAGTTCAATTTGTGATAAAAATATTTTATGTTTTTACACTAATAAACTATTAGCAAATTAGATGATGAAAATATAATTACTTTTACTGTAATGATTACCATAATCAATAAAATTAATCCATCATTTTTCCTTCATTCACACCATACAAGAAGCCAGACTTATAATCTGCAAAAATTACGTATTTATAAACTTATAAATTAATGCTAAAAACAAGCTAACTAAGTAGATAGCTTGTTTTTAGCATTGATTTATAAGTTTATAAATACGTAATTTTTGCAGATTATAAGTCTGGCTTCTTGTGTGATTCACACAACAAAATGTTTTTTGTTAAGATATAATTTTAATTTATCTAGTTAATATGTAAGTGATGCTTACAATTATAATTTTAACAATAATTTTAAAATAATACTAATGACATGATAGAACTTTGCACTAAGTTCTGATATTAAACCATTTAAAATAAATAATATTTATAAATTGTAATCCGTTTCATAATTCTTAAATGATATATTATTTAATCTATATAATGAATTAATTCTACTGACAATATTTAAAATTAATATAATAATTATAAAATGTTATGAATAATTAATTGGATTAAATACTAATTAAAGTCTATGAAACAGTTTATTTTTATAAAAAAGTTAAAATATTAATTTGTAATAATAATTAAAGATATATTACAAACAACAAAAATTATTATACAATTTTAAAATGAATATAAATCCAGAAAATAATTTAAAAACTCATTCTTCTTTGGAATCGTTAATCATTTCATTGTCTTCTTCTTCGCTGTCTTTTTCCTCAAAATTGATACCATTTTTGTGATAATAATATTGTTTCGCCATTTGTTTCAATCTAATAGTCATGTGATTTCCCGTCTGTTTGACTAATTTGCTGAACAGATCATCGCTTGTGTCCAACAAATGGTGGGGAATGTCGTACTCAACCACTTGTCCCGCGTCTAACACCTGATCAATGAATACATAAACAATGAGTACAACACAAGTGATGCGAACCCAACCCCCTATC